GCATTATTGAGCTGGGGACTTTACTAAGCATTTTACACACATTATCTCATGTAATCCTAAAAAAAAAAAATGTTGTCAACTAGCAAACAGGCCAGTCATGAGACTGTAACACTATTTTATATATGGGGGAAAGGCCAGGCATGGGGGTGCACACCTATGACCCCAGAACTTGGGGATTGAGGCAGGAGAATTTCCATGAGTTTGAGGCCAGCCTAGGCCACCTAGTGAATTCAAAGCCAGCCTGAGCTATATAGCAAGACCCTGTCTCAACAACAACAAAAAGGGGGTGGAAGGCCTGGGGAGATAGCTAGGCAGTCTAAGTGCCTGCCTGGGAGGCACAAGGACCGGGTACTGCATGCTGTGCCAGCCCCATGCCGTGCTGTATGCCACTTGAAACTGGGTGTGGTGGCATACCCTTGGGGAGGCCAAGACAGCAGGATCACTATGCGTCTGAGCTGCACAGTGAAACCCTGTACCAAATTAATTTAATGAAAAAATTAATTAATTTAATTTAAAAAAGATTTTAGCAGAAAAGTATAAAAATGAAATATAAGAAGTAAAGCCACGCTGTTATGTTGAGCTGTAGGAGACTCAGGTCAACAATTTCTGACATTGCCAGTGAAGCAGAAGACCGAATACTATTTAGGCTACTGGACTCTTTTAGAATATTTTGCTGAGTTTACACACCTATAATATTCAAATAACAGGACTTAACAAAAAAAGGGGATACAGATGAATGTCCATTTTGTATCTGTGTATTCAAAGCAGTTAGGATAGATATATATAGTTACATTCTCTTAATGAATAGAGGGATTTATTCTAATGGTGTTTGTAAATAGGATGCCATGTCCACATCTTGTACAGCAATTAACCACTAGGAAGAATGTATGCAATGCGTTAATTATTGAAACTGTCCTACCAATTTGATTTGAAACTGTCTCATTGCTATTTGTTTCTCAAGAGAATTATGGAAAAAAAAAAGATTTTAAAACATGACAGCCTAGAGGAAGATGGTGGAAGAGGATCTGGAGGTAGTTAGGAATTATGAGCAACTGGTTTTGGTTTGTGCCTACAACACTGCTAGCTGACACGTGAGAAGTATCTGTAGAATGAATGGAGCTACAGAGGGTGAGGGAAGAGGGGAGTGGAAGGACAGTGCTACATTTAGCCATTAAGATAAAAAAGCCCACAGCACAGTTGTGTAACCCCAGCCCTCCCAAAGCCAGAGGCAGGAGATTATCAAACCTGGGCAATTTAGTGACTTTGCCAGGCCATGTCTCAAAACAAAAAATAAAAGTGGGGAGGGGATGTGGTTCTGTGCTAAGGTCCTGGATTCAATCCCTAGCAGCTGGTGGGGGAAGGGAGAGAAGGGAAGGAAATCTAGTTAAAGATGCTATGTCACACTATTCCGAATCAAGCAGCTTGTTACTCAGGGTTAGGGTAAGTAATCCTTACCCAGAGGAAAAATAATCCTAGGTAGTCTGGTGATTTATGTGATTTGAGCAATAAAAATAAGTATAGAAACAGGGAAAATCAGTCTTGCCTCCTCAATTTGTTTTACTCCACTGAGAAGGTACTTCTCACATTGACAAAGTTGGCCTTGAACTCCCAGGCTCTCTTGATTTTGAACTAGGGAGCAGAAGCAGAATCTGGCAAGTTGCTGCAAAGGTAGAATAAATAAAAAAATATGAGACTGAGGCATGAGGATCATTGTAAGTTCAAGACCAGCCTGGGCTACAAAGTGAGCTCAAGGCCAGCCTAAACTGCATAGGGAAACCCTGTCTCAGACAAAAAAAAAAAAAAAGAAAGAAAGAAAGAAAGATGTTTACAGTACCAAAGGGTGTTTTGCAAAATCCAGTGGAATGCTCAAAATTCATGATTTGAGATATTATTCTAAGAAAGTCTTCTGACATCCTTCCAGCAATCCTTCACCTTTCCTGAAAAGTCCTTATTTGAGAAGAACCACCATTTTCCAAGATGTACACAAAAGTCAGGGAGAACAATGAGGTCTAAGGTAGTAACTCAAAGGCCAATGGTTATTTCCCCAAGGCCTAAAAGGGCAAAGGAAACAACAGAAAACTGTGCTGCAGGTTCTGCCACCCACCATTGATAGTAGAGCCTGGGGAATGCAGACCATGGCCCTCCCTCTCTCCAGGGCTTCAGTCTCCTCAGAACTTCCCATACCTGAGCCTTCCAGACCCACAGAAGCCAGGGGAGCCGGCAAGTTCACAACCACAATGTGGAAAGGTCAGCCTACTCTGGTACAGAGCAGAACGTGGAGAGCAGACAGATGTGGAGAGGTGAAGCTGTTTGTGAGAGTTATATAGAAGCAGGAACATATCCCAAGGAGGGACCACAAATAGCCAACTCCCTTCACTAGCATTACTGAAACTGAACTACACTCGAGAACTCAAACACCTGTTATTCAGTTCTCTAGACTTAATCTTATTTTTTCAGTACTAGTGATTGAATCCAGGGCCTTCATACTGAGCTGCATCCCCAACTCATTTTTTCGTTTTGAGACAAATTCTAGCTAAGTAGTAAAAGGAGCTAAAATTTGTGAACCTACTTTGGCCTCCCAAAGTGCTGGTATTACCGCCATGAGTCATGCACCTGTTGGTAAATTCTTTATAGAGTTCACTGCACATTTATAGTTCCTTGCACTGCAAGCAAACATTTTTTCTAAGAAAATCTTCCAGTATCCTTCCAGCAGTCCTTCACCTTTACTTAAGAGGTTCTTACAGAACATTTCTCTTAGACAACACATGTTGCCAGATGTGGTGGCACACACCTATATTCCCAGTACTTGGGAGGCTGAGGCAGGAGGATAACTTAATTAAGAGTTGGCGGCCAGCCTGGGTTATAAAGTGAGCTCAAGGTCAGCCTGAACTGCACAAAGAGACCCTGTCTTGAAAGAAACAAAGAAGGAAGGAAAGAAAAAGAAAGAAAAGAAAAAAAGAAGAGAAGCAGAGACAGACAACACACTGCCTGCCTTGGTGGAGCCTGTAAGCTCAGCATTAAGGATAGCAAGCCTGAGGGGAGCCTGGGCTATATCCTGAATTTCAGGCCAACCTGCACTACAAAGCAAAACCCTGTTTCAAAAAACTAAAACAACAATAAAGAAAGACAACACACAAAACAACCATGGATTCTCATAAACCAAACTGCAAAGAACCATTTCGTATTACTTCTTTGGCACTTGACTGTATTTAGCAGTATTTGATTGATAAGTGGTAAATAGTAATAAAAAGCTTTCAGTCCTGTGCACCGGACTTGTTAAGAGGCTTGTAAGAGTTCAGGTGTTACCTGATAGGACTTCAAAAGGCTGCAAACAGAACAGTGTGTGTAAAGTTAAAAATTTAAAACCTCACGAATAACAGAGTAAAAGCGGTGCTTCTTGGGGAATATAGATGTTACTATAATCCTTGTTTAATTGCTACCAGTTTCAGAAAGTTGCTTAGTCAGGTGAACTGAAGATTTCTGATATAGAAAACAAGAAATACTTTTTAATTTAATGCTGTTGTAAAGTATGAACTGGCAAGCACTTATTTACCGGGGCCGGGATGAGATTGAGAAAAGAAATTTCACTTCAGCAACCTCACACCAGAAAATAATCATTATTTTTAACCTCTAAGTACACACATGAGGCTAGTTTCATGTCGAAGTGAATTTCAGGGCCGAGTACAAGGACCATATTGGATTATCACAAACATATTTGCACTATTTTTAAGATATTTCCCAAGGAAAATACTTTGGGGAATAACTTAATTTGCAATCTGGAGTCGTTTCTGCAAATTAAAAGAATAGGTCATATCTTAAAAGCCCACAAAACAGTAATCGCTTTACTCAAGGGCATTGTAAAAACGCTTCGGCTTGGGGCAATCGGGAGGGGAAGTGCGCGAAATCATATTTCAGGGCAAAGGTTTCCCACAGATACCGCGGCTGTCACCTTGGACGCGGCTCACTACTGCGAGTCCCCGCGGCTTCCCCACGCGCCGCGCGGAAACTTTCACGAAGCAAATGCGCGGCGCGCAGCGCCCGGCCACCGGCTAGCGTCGCGCTGCCGGCAGGTGCCGGCGCCCACCCGGCCTCCCCGCGCCACGTGCGC